ATTTCTTTCCACCTCTGCTCATGGTTCTCATTGGACCACATAGATCCATATGGACCAGTTCCAACGACTTGGTTGTACTTACCATTTTCTTGCTTTTGAAAGATGATCTTACTTGCTTCCCCCTTGCACATGCCTCACAAACTTTGTCTTCCTTGAACTTGATATTAGGTAACCATATCACCAAGTCTTTGGAGACTAATTTGTTTAGCTGATTTAGACTTGCATGACCAAGTCTTTTGTGCCACAGGAGGGGATCATTAACCATCACACTTAAGCAAGTGAGTTCATTTTCTGAGAGAGTAAACAAATCTACAATGTAAATATTGTTAACTCTTTTTCCCTGCAAAACAATCTTGTCATTGGTAAGGTTAACCACAAAGCATTTGGTAGAGGTAAAAGCTACAAGATTACCTCTGTCACACAATTGTGACACACTTATTAGGCTATATTTCAAGCCATCTATCAGGTAGACATTCTCTATGGAATGAGAATCTGTTTTGCCTACCTTTCCAACCCTAATGATCTCACATTTCTTTCCATTACCAAAGGAGACATTACATCCTTTTAAGTCCTCAAGTGAAAGTAACTGGTCCTTGTTCCCAGTCAAATATTTTGAGCAGCCACTATCCATATACCATATTTGGCTCCTCCCTTTCACTTGGACCTGCAAAAAGAAATCAGGGGTTAGTCTTAGGAACCCAAACTAGTTTGGGTCCCTTTCTATAGGCAAAAGGATGAATCAAATTCCTTCTTGCCCACCCAGGCAGCTTGTTTTTCTCTTGAACAAAAACTTTGTTCTTTTGACTGGCCTTTTCTTTTGCATTACATTCATTTTTGTAATGGTCAGTCTTGCCACAGTGTGTGCAGATTTTATTTTCAGGAAGAGTTAGGTACTTGCTTTTAGGGTTTCATTTTGGAGCTTAAGTCTCGTAGCCAAGTCCTCTTTTGTTGCTACTGTGATGCTCTTGCAGCCAAGAGAGTGCATCACAAGCCTTGTTCCACTTGCAAGTTTGTCTAGTTCATGTTTCACCTTTCCTAGATCTTCCTTTAGGACTTTGATGAATTCATCTTTCTTATGCAATTCATCTTTCGTTTTTCCCAAATTTTCTTCTAGAGTGAGATATGTGTGATCAGCTTTCTTCTTTCCTGTTCTTAGTTTCAGTTTTAAGTTTTCAAACCTAAGTTCTAGGACACTGTTATCAAGTTCAAGAACTTGGTTCTTCAACTCAGCATTTGTGTTATCACTCTCATAAGCCCTAGACTCTAAACTTTTGCATTTTGCTTTTAGGATCACACATTCCCTAGACAGAACTTCCTTCTCATTGTTAATTATCTCAGACTCATCAATGAATTCTAGTAATAGCTCAGCCAACTTTTCTTTAGATAAAACTTTAATCTTGTCTTTGAAATGAAGGATACTTACCTCCTGTTCATCATCTGATTCTCTGATGGCCATCAGTGCTTGCTCTTCTTCAGCTTCATCTTCTGAGTCTTCATCTAAAGTTTCTCCCCAAGCAGCAACCATAGCCTTGGTTGAACCTTTGTTCCTTTTTGGTTAAACCTGTTCCTTCTTCCTGTTCCTTTGTTCAGCCCTTTCTTTCTTCCACTCGATTTCCCATTGAGGGCAGTTCTTGATCATGTGATTAGTCTTACCACACTTTTAGCAACCCTCATTGGTCTGTTTCTCAGGAGCTCTTGACTTGTTGAAGGTTGTACCTCTTGAAGAACCCTTTCCTCTCATCAGGTACTTTTTGAAATCTCTAGTGATCATAGCCATCTCATCATCTTCCAGATCTGAACCTTCAGCAATTCTGAGAGCTAGGCTTCTCTCCTTCTTGGATGTATCCATCTTCATGATTTTTGCCTTCTCAGTTTATAAGTAGTAAGATTTCCAGTCAGTTCATCTAGTCTGAGAGTAGAAATATTCTTGGATTCCTGAATGGCAGTGATTTTGCTTTCCTATGAGACTGGCAGAACCCTTGTTAGGATTTTCTCAACCTTGTCTTCTTCAAGAATAATCCTTCTAAGAGACTTAAGTTCATTTGTCAGTGTAGTGAACCAAGTATACATCTCTTGGATAGTTTCTCCTTCCTTCATAGTAAAATTCTCATATTGAGAATACAGCAGTGTTCCTCTAGATCTTTTCACTTGAGGTGTTCCTTCATGAGCCACTTACAAAGTGTCCCATATCTCCTTAGCAGTAGTACAGCTTTGGATCCTACTGTACTCATCTGGACCTAGTCCACACACAAGCCATTTCTTGGCCTTAGCATTTTTCTCCCACTTCTTTAGGTCTTCAGCAGTGCAGCCAGCCCTTGTCTTTGGCACATCCACTCCTTCCTCATTTTTCATTGTAGTTGCCAAAGCACCATCAGTGACTATGTCCCAAAGTTCATAGTCTTCTCCTATAATGTGATCCTTCATCCTGTTCTTCCACCAAGAGTAGTACTGTCCATTGAACAGTGGAGACCTGACAGTGGATTGCCCTTCCCAGTTCTCAGGTGGTGCACTCATGTTGATCTTTTCCTAAGATGTTAGCCTCTTCAAGGATAACCTGCTCTAATACCAATTGATGTTCTAAACGTCAATTCCAAACAAGAGGGGAGGGGTGATTTGTGTGGTACCCAATATTTTGATCTAGAAGAACCTGGTTCTTCTAGGTGTTCTAACTACTACTGTTGCGGAATTAAAAGTACAGAAAATAAAGAACACAGAGATTTTTACGTGGAAAACACCTGGCTCAAAAGGTGAAAAAACACGACCTACTACTTAGTAGGATTTTCCCAAACATCCACTAAAATCACTGAGCCAAAACAACATTTACAAAACCTCTTTGTAAACCTAAGGATTAACTCTAATCCCTGTGTAGCACACAGCCTCAACTGTTGTGACACCTTCAAGTTAGCCTATAACTTGAACACTCAAAGTACCTATTACAAATGCTTCTATGAAAGCTGAAAAGGTACAACTTTAAACCACCTACTACAATTGAACTAGAATAAGAATAAACACAATGGAACTGCTTCTTCTATCTCGTTCAAGTAGCTTCGGGTGTGCACACTTAAAACTCACATAAATTGCTCGCAAAAGTGCCTTGCTCGTTTGCTCTCAATTTAGTTTAACTTCTGCGTATGTGCAACCCCTGTAAAAGAGAACAATCACTGTTATTTAATGAGTTAGTAATCAGAGTTTGATTGCGACTCAATTGTTGATCTTCCACCGAAGTTGAGTCCTTGTACAATACAAACTCCAACCCTATCCTTTATCCGGATTGTGTCCTCTTCCCATAAGGAGACTTTCTCTCCTCATCCAATATGCAATCTTTTCGATCAGTTCAGGAGATATTGTTGCTTGATCACTGAGACTTATCTCCTTCACGTGTATCTCACATGTCTAGGTTGATAAATATTGTGCCTCACATGATGGACCTGGTCCATGACTAAGTTCATTTGTCATTCTTCAAAACTTTACCTGAACTTGGGCCAACACCTTTGCTCTTGTTCCTGCAATGCATTTAACAATTCTGCCAAGGTAATCTTAGATAGATCGTTTATGTTTTCCAAGGTAGTTATGGATACTTCATATTTTTCGGGCACCATAACAAGAATTATTTCAGTAATTCTTGAATCTTTAAATTTAGTACCAAGCAATCTTACCTTGTTAACAATGCCAATCAACCGATCTGAGTATTCTTTGACGGTCTCAGATTCCTTCATTTTCAGCAACTCGAATGCTACACCTTCATGCCTCGTATTTTTTCACCTCATGTATATTTTTCCTTCAGATAACCCAAATTTCTTTTGCTAATTTGAGAGCCATAATTCTCGTGAAAATTGTTACAGACACACGAGCAAACAAAGTTACTTTCACCTTTGCTTTCGTGGTTTTCTTTTCCTTGTGACTCTTGATCTGGCCCACGGTGGAATTGTTAAGCAGCGGAAGAACATCATAAACCTCTTCCACGACCTCCCAAAGATCCAAAGCCTCCAAATAAGTCTCCATTCTCACTGCCCACAGTTGGTAACTTTCACCATCAAAGATTGGAGGAGCCAATTGGGAAAACTCGTTTCAATTTCCATTTCACTCGAATTTTTTTAACTCAGGTCCCTTAAGAAGATGGCTCTTGATACCAAATGTTGGTTCTTGGTAAAAGAAACTAAGGGAAATTATAGGGAAAAATGACAGTAAAATAAAAGGAGTATACTGAAATAGATGTACAAGGAACTCTAAAGAACTGAAGCTGAAAATTCTATTTTATTTCATTGTATCTGGACTACAATTTATAAGAGAACTAATAACTTAAAAGACCTAAAAATTAGCAAAATATCTGCTGAAAATAACAAACTACTAGAGACAAGTTCACTTCTAAAGACTAGTTCAAAGAGGTTATTTCAAATTCAAACTAAATTACTGCAGTAAATAACTCTTAAGTTGAAATAATAAAATAATTTTACTGAGAACAACTTCTAAAGCATATTTCTAACAGAATAGCTATCAACTCTTTATACTTCAAAGAAAAGTTAAAGATCAATATTAGAAGTATTGAAGTTATGCTGTTATTTGTTGTATTTTTAAGGCAAATCCAAGTTTAATAATGCAACCACTAGTTAGTTTTGACACTTCCATGGACACTGTGTAATTTAAATGAGTACCTTTAAAAACAACATTGTGGAATTGTTTGTAACTTCTTGCAGTTCGGGCTCTTCCCCAGACCCCACAGCATAGCAGCAATCTTAGTGCATCAGGCTGCTCATTAATTTTGTGATTTTATGTCCCTTAACGCTTATCATATGAATAAGCAAAGCATCTAATGTTCTCCAAACTGTTATTTGCTTAAGTAATCTCAAGAAATATATATATAAAAGTTGTTCAGAATTTTGTTACCAAAAGGAAAAAAAAAGTTCAGAATTTTAACAGATCTCCATATAGCTAAAATGCATGAAATGGCCAATAAGCAACCAAGGTAGAAAATTGCCTCCGACTTTGACCAATACCGCCAAGAGACTCAAAAGTTCCTTTATATTCTAGTAAAATGAATAATTCCAACAAAATACAGAAGACCCATCTTTACATTAAGAATAAAGGGTTGGTTTTGCAAAGGAGTTACACAAACCTAAGCTAATGTGCACACAAGCAGTTGGCCTGCCCACCAACTTGGTCTCAGTAACAGAGGCAATTAGATAAAGGTACTCCTCATTTAAATTACACAAGCAGTTGGCCTTCACCAGATTCAAACCTAGGATATTTTCTTATGTTTCTTCTCCTGCCATTGTTTGATTTCAGCATCTATTGTAGCTTTTACTTTTGCATGAAATCCAGGATATGGTTCATAGCCAGTAAATGTCCAGAGAGCCTGCAAGTCAAGAAAAGATAGATTAAATCAATCTAGTGAAAACATTTCCTATTTAACACAAAACTAGTACCTCTAAGAGTACAAAGAAGGGTTCCATAAGGAATGCTTCCGCAAAATTGTCCAACAGAGCAGGCGCTCGTTTCTACAAAATTAAATAAGCAAGACAATATACAAACAGAAAAAGATATAAGACGAAGATCTAAGGATCATAAAATGGTGCAAATGTCACCTCAAACACTCCATGGCCTATAACCAGTCCAGTCCAGCAGAATAACTGAGCGACAAGAACAACCTGATAAGATGTTTATTGTTAGCACCAAGCACTCACATACTTCAAGATAAATTCAACAGACACAGATGTATTTCTAACATATTGGATCGTGAAATGATATATCTATGATCAGTCCACATCAGATAGACAGGGAGAGTCAAAATAGTACTTGGCTTTTCGTTCTTGTCCTTTATCAAGAAATAGATGATGGTCAAGTGTGAATTAGATCCAAAGTGGATATAAGGCAGGGATGAACATCAAAGAACTGCTACATCAAAAGAAGTTCTGTAGTTAGGCGCTAAGCATCACTGAAGCCTTCCCATGTGCAAACCACAGAATCTATTAAGGTATATGACCAAGGATCAGAAGAGAAGCAGTTTACCAATAAGTGTATGGAGTTAACAAACTGAAACAAAGGGTATGCAGTCGGGAAAGGCTAATCCCATGCGACATTTAACAACCCTCATCAAATAAATGTGGATTGTACTCAACCATGGTGGCAACTTGATACTTCATTTGCCAGTAATTAGTGGAACTGATTAGAAGATTCAGTGTAATAACTAGCGTCATGCTTAGAATCACGCCAGTACTATCAGCATCATATCCAAGGGATGCAAATAAGCCACCACACAGTTATAACTAAACCCCCCTTTTTCAGCATTGTTTGCTAGTTGCGCCAGTAAATATAGGATTATACTAAACAACTCTTTAGGTCAAGTCATAAGAAATACAAGTAGGGAGTCCCATGGAATCTACAGAAAACATTCAATACAACAGAACAAAAATGAGTGGTAACTGAAACTTTGATAAGCAGAGTCTTAATTCGTATAGCATTATTCTGTTTGACTTCCAGGAAAGTTCCACAAATAAATAAACTGATTCCTCCAGTTCTCTTTCTTACACTGAACTAGCTTGTCCAACTGGTATTATCAGGGCAGGAACTATTCCACATTTAAGACAAGAAAGGGGTGCAATAAAGTTATTACTCAAGCAGTTGACATGCGGCTAATGTAGTTAAGATTTGGTGAGGGTAAAATTGAGGTACTCATCATGCTGTTTGGCGAATTAATGAAGCAGGTGAATGACTGGTAATTTTCCTTTACAGAATTAACATATGGCTTAACACGATTAGAGGCTAAAATTTTAGTTAGATAAGGGTGAAGTCCTAAAATTAAATGGAAGCATGCTGTGTTAAAAGAAATATAATTTCTTGGAATCAACAGGACTTATCAAATATAGAAACAAAAGATTTCTTTAATCAATACCAACTAGTTGGGATTCAAGTCCAGTTATGTTCAAATAGTGATGATAATTAGGAGTCCTTTCAGGTGAGAGATAAAAATGTAGAGAACCTTCAGTATTAGAGAACTCCAAATTTATCTTAAAAGTAAATGATTGAGTCGTAGAACCGAACTGGTGCAAAAACTAGTTTGGGTTGAGGTGTAGCAGTTGTTGTTGCAGGGTGAAGTCCTAAGTGTCAATTACAAGTATAGAGACAGAACAATCAAGAAGAAATAAGCACCCGCACGTGTGAAATTAAGCTGAGAACAGCAAAAGCTGAAGCTACTGGACATCGAACAAGGGAAAATGTAAAACTAGCGTGGCTGGCCACTTTTTGGATTTGTAATTGAAAAACAGCCGGAGCTTGCAAGGTAATTGAAAAATAGCCATTTGTGAATGTGGAAATAAAATCTCAACAAATGTACCCTTAGCAAAAACACCAAAAAACTCCAGCAAGTATCATGGAGTTCAAACTCATACAAGTAAAACCTAGAGCATATTGTCTTGGAGTTTCTACTTCTACAAGTGAAACTCCAAGATGCTGTCCTGGAGTTCAGTTTTTGCAGCTTTTTGAAATTCACACTAATAGACAGATGATTTAGGTCTCCATTAACTCCGTTCAAATCTATCTAACAATCCTAGCAGTAAAACGATGATCATCACCACCCCTTTTGGTTGGTTCTATGACATAATTAGCTGCATTAAAAAATTTGGAATCTTCAACAAGGATCTGCACACGTGTTGCCATCAGAAAGTCGTAAAAAATTGGATTCATGATGACTTTTTGAAGTTTTTTTTGTCGATATTCCCAAATTCTTGTAGTGGGACTGGTTATAGAACTTGAGACACAGAGAGAGCCTGTGTGATTCCTAAAATCAGCATGGGTTCCACATGTAATATATTAGTAGTCACAGCAACCACGTATGAATAACTGCAATTTCATCTCAAAAGGAAGGTTGCTAGAAGTCCGGCATGTTGGTGCTGCAGCGCAGCACCAAATCCACGACATTGTCTTAGAGTTTTTAAGTAGCAAAAGCTGAACTCCAGGACAATATCCTGGAGTCGGAACATCTACAAGTGAAACTCCTGACCGGATTTCGTGGAAAAGTTGAAGAACCGAGTCGTTACCACTTTTTGTCCAAATACTATTTCCACATAAAAAAGTTGTTAAATTTTGATTATATTTGGAACTGTGGCTTATTTTCAAATAGCAACCGCAAAAGTGACTATTTGTGAATCATTTCCAAGAAAAAAGCATCACGCAAATTAACAAGTAGATAAACACGTCTCATCAATTGACCATCTCACTAATTGCTAGAGATCATGAAAATAAATTACAAAAAAACAACCCAAACTCCATCCCAAGCTAGTTGAAGTCAACTATATGAATCATCAATACTCCATTTGACCAAAACAATAGGAATGAAAGTATAAAAAGAAATATACTCATTACCTTCCAGGCGAGAGAGAACCCCAGATAATGAGCAACAAAACTGCTTGATACCCAATAAAGTAAACAGAGCAAAGCAGCTAAAGAGCCAGCTTTCTTGTCCAAATACACATAGAACAAGGCATAAATCAAAGTAAACAAGAACCCGAGATTCAAGCCTAAGAAACAACTATCTTCATACAGCTGAATTGGAGTGGAATTCAAAAGTGGGGGTGTAAAGTAGAAGAGAATAAGAGCTGTGAAAAAGA